TCAGGCTTGATCTCTGGGTAGGGAAGATCCTTTGGAGAAGAAAATGGCAACCCACTCCAGTATTCTTGTCTGGAGAATTCCATGGACAGAGAAGCCTGGTGAGCTGCAGTCCTTGGGTTTGAAGAGTCAGACATGACTGAAGTGACTTCACAGGCACATGCATGGCCTGATAATTGGGGTAAACCTGAGTTGTGAGAGTCTTTAGGAGTCTGGGACCATGGGAGCTGGCAGGCAACAGGGTGGGCCAGGGACCTGGGTTTGTGGGAATGCCTGGGAAGCCCGGTGCCATGGAAGGCATCTCTGACCGTGGAAGTCAGTTCTGTGCTGGGGTGGGCCAGTGTCAGGGTACATGATAAAGTTGGATCTTACTTCACTTTCTTTCTCCCATGGGAAAGGTAACTGTCCCTATGCTGGGCTGCCTGGGCTTGCTGGAGAGGTAAGGTGGGTAATGTGAATCTATCATTCCTGCTCTCTTCAATACATCTTTTCTCATTTCTGTGCTTTGCCCAGGTGCTGTGATCCCTTGCCTGGAATCCTTAGCTCCTGTGAAGTTATTTTCATGCACGAGTAGTTGTTCAGATTGGTGTTTCTGGGAGGGGATGGGGCTAGAAATTCTTATACCATCATTTTACTCGTGTTACTGAAGGAGTTTGCTGTTTCCATACTCAAGTGTTTGTGAGTTTCTCAAATTCTTTCTGTTTCTGATTTCTAATTTCATTCCACTGTGTTGGAGAAAATAACCATGTACTTTTTTTTTTCATTTATTGTGTTTTAGTAATGGCTTAAACATGGTGTGTTCTGGAGAATGTTCTATGTGCACTTGAAAAAAATACATTTTGCTGTTGTTGGGTGGAGTACTTTATAGATCCCTGTTACCCATAATTGGTTTATAGTTGTGTTCAAACATTTGGCTTCCTTGTTGATATCCTAATTCTGCATCCATTTTAGTTCCTGTATTCTCCCTTTTTTATCTTCTTTACATTAAGTGGATATTTTCTATTTTGTATTTTAAATTCTTTAATAATTTATTCACTATTTTAAAAGTTGTTTTTTTCCTTAGCAGTTGTTTTTCATTTCAGTTCAGTCACTCAGTCATGTCTGACTCTTTGTGACCCCATGGACTGCAGATCACCAGGCCTCCCTGTCTATCACCAACTCCCAGAGTTTACCCAAATTTATGTCCACTGAGTTGGTGATGTCATCCAACCATCTCATCCTCTGTTGTCCCCTTCTCCTGCCTTCAATCTTTCCCAGCATCAGGGTCTTTTCCAATGAGTCATTTCTTCACATCAGGTGGCCAAAGTATTCGAGTTTCAGCTTCATCATCAGTCCTTCCAATGAACACCCAGGACTGATCTCCTTTAGGATGGACTGGTAGGATCTCCTTATAGTCCAAGCAACTCTCAAGAATCTTTTCCAACACCACATTTCAAAAGCATCAATTCTTCGGGGCTCAGCTTTCTTTTTAGTCCATCTCTCACATCCATAGCTGACTACTAGAAAAACCATAGCCTTGACTAGATGGACCTTTGTTGGCCGAATAATGTCTCTGCTTTTTAATATGCTAAGTTGGTCATAACTTTCCTTCCAAGGAGTAAGCCTCTTTTAATTTCATGGCTGCAGTCACCATCTGCAGTGGTTTTGGAGCCCCAAAAAATAAAGTCTGCCACTGTTTCCACTGTCTCCCCATCTATTTCCCATGAGGTGATGGGACCAGATGCCATGATTTTAGTTTTCTGAATGTTGAGCTTTAAGCCAACTTTTTCACTCTCCTCTTTCACTTTCATCAAGAGGCTTTTTAGTTCCTCTTTACTTTCTGCCATAAGGGTGGTGTCATCTGCATATCTGAGGTTATTGATATTTCTCCCAGCAATCTTGATTCCAGCTTGTGCTTCCTCTAGCCCAGCGTTTCTCATGATGTACTCTGCATATAAGTTAAATAAGCAGGGTGACAATATACAGCCTTGACATACTCCTTTTCCTATTTGGAACCAGCCTGTTGTTCCATGTCCAGTTCTAACTGTTGCTTCCTGACCTGCATACAGGTTTCTCAAGAGGCAGGTCAGGCGGTCTGGTATTCCCATCTCCTTCAGAACTTTCCACAGTTTATTGTGATCCACACAGTCAAAGGCTTTGGCGTAGTCAATAAAGCAGAAATAGATGTTTTGCTGGAACTCTCTTGCTTTTTCGATGATCCAGCGGATATTGGCAATTTGATCTCTGGTTCCTCTACCTTTTCTAAAACCAGCTTGAACATCTGGAAGTTCTCGGTTCACGTATTGCTGAAGCCTGGCTTGGAGAATTTTGAATATTACTTTACTAGCGTGTGAGATGAGTGCAATTGTGTGGTAGTTTGAACATTCTTTGGGATTGCCTTTCTTTGGGATTGGAATGAAAACGGACCTTTTCTAGTCCTGTGGCCACTGCTGAGTTTTCCAAATTTGCTGGCATATTGAGTGCAGCACTTTCACAGCATCATCTTTCAGGATTTGAAATAGCTCAACTGGAATTCCATCACATCCAATAGCTTTGTTCATAGTGATGCTTTCTAAAGCCCACTTGACTTCACATTCCAGAATGTCTGGCTCTAGGTGAGTGATCACGCCATTGTGATTATCTGGGTCATGAAGATCTTTTTTGTACAGTTCTTCTGTGTATTCTTGCCACCTCTTCTTAATATCTTCTGCTTCCATTAGGTCCATACCATTTCTGTACTTCATTGAGCACATTTTTGCATGAAATGTTCCCTTGGTATCTCTAATTTTCTTGAAGAGATCTCTAGTCTTTCCCATTCTGTTGTTCCCTCTATTTCTTTGCATTGATTGCTGAGGGAGGCTTTCTTATCTCTCCTGGCTATTCTTTGGAACTCTGCATTCAAATGGGACTATCTTTCTTTTCTACTTTGCTTTTCGCTTCTCTTTTCACAGCTATTTGTAAGGCCTCCTCAGACAACATTTTGCCTTTTTGCATTTCTTTTCCACAGGGATGGTCTTGATCCCTCTCTCCTGTACAATGTCACAGACCTCCGTGCATAGTTCATCAGGCTCTCTGTCTATCAGATCTAGTCCCTTAAATCTATTTCTCACTTCCACTGTATATTCATAAGGGATTTGATTTATGGCTCAAAGGAGGAAAGAAGTAGGTCAAGACTGTATATTGTCACCCTGCTTATTTAACTGATATGCAGAGTACATCATGTGAAATTTCAGGATGGATGCAGCAGAAGCTGGAATCAAGATTGCTGGAAGAAATATCAATAACCTCAGATATGCAGATGATACCACTCTTATGGCAGAAAGTAAAGAGGAACTAAAGAGCCTCTTGATGAAGGTGAAAGAGGAGAGTGAAAAAGCTTGCGTAAAATTCAGCATTCAAAAAACCTAAGATGATGGCATCCGATCCCATCATGTCATGGCAAACAGATGGGAAACAGTGACAGACTTATTTTCTTGGGCTCCAAAATCACTGCAGATGGGGACTGCAGCCATGAAATTAAAAGATGCTTGCTCCTTGGAAGAAAAACTATGACAGACCTTGGCAGTGTATTAAAAAGCAGAGACATCACTTTCCCTACAAATGTCCATATATGGTTTTTCCAGTAGTCATGTATGGATGTGAGAATTGTACTGTAAAGAAGGTTGAGCACTGAATAATTGATACTTTTGAACTGTGGTGTTGGAGAAGACTCTTGAGAGCCCCTTGGACTGCAAGCATATCAGTCAATCCTAAAGGAAATCAATCCTAAATATTCATTGGAAGGACTGATGCTGAAGCTGAGGCTCCGATACTTTGTCTACCTGATGCAAAGAGCCGACTTATTAGAAAAGACACTGATGCTGGGAAGGATTGAAGGCAGGAGGAAATGGGGCAAGAGAGGACACGATGATTGTATAGTATCACCAACTTGATGGATATGAGTTTGAGCAAGCTGTGGGAGATGGTGAAGGACATGGAAGCCTGGCATGCTGCAGTCCATGACATCGTAAAGAATTGTACGCCACTGAGTGACTGAACAACAACAAAAGTAAGGGTGAGGTAGGCATACCGGAACTGGAAATGATTAAATGTATGGTCCATTATTCCCCACCTTAGAGATTTCTCATAAAATTGAGGAGAAAATACTTGTAGTGGTAAGTTTTCTAAATACCACATGAGTTGTTATGTCAATGATAGTGTTAAAAATTCAGATAAATGAGAAATGAATAGGTAGTGGAGAAGAGAGGGAGAGACCTAGAGAGCAAAAGATCAAGTGAGCTGAAGACAAAGAGACAGAAAGACAGAGAGAGAGAAACAGAGATGTAGAGAATGACTGTGGGAGAGAGTAATAGAGAACAGAGATGAGAAGCAAAGAGACACGGTAGAGATGGATGGATGGATGGATGGATGGATGAATAGGTCGGGGGAGGAATATGCCTTGCTTATCACTCTTCTTTGCAGCTTTCCCTGGGTTCTGAGTCTTAGATGGATTAGGGCTGAGGTAAAAAGTTTCTATACAGAGACAAGAGCAGAATCTGTGTCTTAGAATATTCAGGATGGGGAACACATGTAAATCCATGGCTGATTCATGTCAATGTATGGCAAAAACCACTACAATATTATAAAGTAATTAGCCTCCAACTAATAAAAATAAATAGAAAAAAAGAGAATATTCACCCTTGAATGTGTCCTGAGATAAGTCAGTAAATTCATTTTTTCTTCACAGCATGTTGAGATCCCTTTTTACATTCTTTTTGCCCTTGTTGCTTTGCTTGTTGTCCTGAAACTTTTCATCCTGAGGTGTCCCGCTCTCTTTCTAATCTGCAACAGCGCACCCTCACATCCGCCTTTTTGTCACCCAAGGTGGGATGAACAGTGTCATGGAGGCCATCTACCTTGGCATGCCCATGGTGGGGATTCCTGTCTTTGCAGACCAGCATGAAAATGTGCTCCGAGTAGAAACCAAAAAGTTCGGTGTCTCTATCCAGTTAGAGCAGATGAAGGCCGAGACATTGGCTCTGAGGATGAAGCAAGTCATGGAAGACAAGAGGTGTGCAGCTCTCGGGGCTTGTGGTTCATTAATGCTTGATGGAGGTGTAAGCCATGATGGGCACCACGTGGGTCTTAGTGCAGTAAAAGCTGAAACTTGCAGGACACAGAATAATATTGGTGTACTTTTACATGTTAGCACTTTCAAACTAAGCATGGGTCTTTGCATGCAGGAATCAATTTGAACTCTTCAAGCAGACTCAGTTGGACAGTGGCAAGACCAGGCCAACAATTTTCCTTGAAAGGAAGTCTTTTGTGCCTATGGTAGAAAGTGTGTGTGTGCGTGTGTGTGTGATACAAGGTCTCTAAGAATTCTGAGGCCACTTGAGTTAACAGCTCCCCTCTGTCTCTGTCGACAGGTACAAAGCTGCCGCAGAGGCCGCCAGCATCATCAGCCGCTCGCAGCCCCTGACCCCCGCCCAGCGGCTGGTGGGCTGGATCGACCACATCCTCCAGACAGGGGGTGCAGCCCACCTCAAGCCCCATGCCTTCCAGCAGTCGTGGCATGAGCAGTACCTACTGGACGTCCTCTTGTTCCTGCTGATGGTCACCCTGGGCACCGCGTGGCTCTGTGGGAAGCTGCTGGGCCTGGTGGCCAGGTGGCTGTGTGGGGCCAGGAAGCTGAAGAAGGCTTGAGGCCGAATGGAGCCTTAGAGAGGGTGTGCTGGGGAGCCACTGGCTCTTTGAAGTCTTTCCCCAGCACTGTCCTTGCTTCCTCCCCTTCACTTTTACTTGATGATAGAACACCCATTTCCCCTACTTTTTGTCTCTGTTTAGAAATCTTTATGAAGAACTCTTGGGGTGCTTTTTAAAGATACTGTGATAGAGAATATATCACATGAAATTTACCATTTTAATCATTAAGTAGTAGTTCAGTGGCATGAAGTACATTCACACAGCTGCACAAACATCATTACCCTCCAATTCTAGAACTCTACTCATCTTTCCAAACTAACATTCCACACAGGTTAAATGATACCACCACCCCCCCCCCCACCCTGGTTCCCTTAACCACCATCGAGGTTCTAGCAGCCCATGTCTACTTTTGTGTCTGAATCTACACTTGAGCTTCTGGATTGCCCCTGACCAAGGGATGCCTCTCCTCAGCCCAGCCTGCTCCTCCCTCCCTTGTGATTCCTGCACATGGTGCTCTGAGGACTCAGCCTCCCTGTTCAGGAGCCTTCTCAGGCTCTTTCCCTGTTTCTCTTTCTTTCACTTTTCATAAAGCTCACACGAGCTGTTTGGTTGGTTCTTCCTTGTCGGCCTTCCTCCTGCATTTCCTTTTCGTCTCACCTCACAGCTCAGGAAGCCTGGCCTCTGTCCTGCAGGTTGGCGGGGACACCCCGTGAGGACTTGGTCCCCTCCTGCGCAGAGCACCTCCTTCACTGTCAGGCCTGGAGCCTGCCTTTGGTCCACAGCTGAAGCCACCTGCTGCCCATGTTTCAGTGTTCCGTCCTCAAGATTCCCAACTTGAATAATTAGGGTCACGAAAACCTAAGTGGAGAAATGGAATCTCAATGCAAGGCTTGGGGGCCTTAGGTCCAGGAGCCGTGGCTGCCCAAACCTCTTGATTTAGGAAACATTCCATCCGCCATCCCACTTAGCAAAGAACATCTCTACATGTGGTAAACGCTTGGGGATGACATTCAGTTCCTAGTAACAGAAGCTAGAAAAAGAGTGGCTTAAACACTCTGGAGTTTTAAAGTGTTTTTAATTTCCTGGACACAGCCTGGAGACAGGTGGTGGAGGGCTGCTATGGAGACTCATCCTGCTGTCTGTAGCTTAAAAAAAATTTTTTTTTTGAGTACCTGTCCTGTACTGTTCTACCAAGTTGCCTCTCTGGTTTGTTGCTCTCATGAAATATTTTACCTTTGGGGATCCTGTCTTCCTGTTTCCTTTTGCATTCTGAAATGGAATTAAATTCCTCCTTAAAAGCTTCATTGTGTGGTATCCAGTGGATTAAAACATGATGAAGAAAATGTTAGAAACAAGAGATAGCCCTGGCAACTACGGTTTTGGGTTGCTTAATTCTGGGTTGTTAGTCACATCTCAAGATAGTTCAAAGGAAAACATGAAGCAGTTACTACAAATGCTCCCTGCAGAGATAGGAAAAGACCCACACCTGCCAATGTTGGGATGGGGTCTGCCTGGATGTATGGAGAACTGGGTGCCCGGTGTCTGCCCAGGTCTGTGAGGGAGTCCCACACAGTCAGGATCATGTCAGATGCAGAAGTGAGTGTGTCTGTGTGTGTGAGAGATAAGGTTATATTTCTACAGTTCTCAATGAGATCTCGTAAACTGGTCTCTGGCATAAATTCCTTGAGGGACAGACATGCAGCCCTCGCTGGGTTGTCCCTGGAATGAAGGACCAGGGTTTTATTCCCCTCATAGGCAACACAGGGACATAAGGATGAGGCTCACTGGCTGGTAACTCCCTCTTTCCTGCTCTCACCACAAAATCCTCCCTGACGATCAGGTAACTCGGTGAAGCCGCCACTTTCTGCTGCTTTCTAGGTAGGCTTGTCTCAGTCCAGGAAATCTGATCAATAGCAGCCAGGGAGCCAGAATGAGGCCTCCAGCTTGTTCCCTTCAAGTATCCTCCGCAGGGCTGGCTGCCAGCTTGGCCTTGATAGCGTGGAAATCTGACCTCATCTCTCTGATCACAGTCCTTTGTTGGCTCCCATTGCAGAGAATACAAGGTCTCTGTGATCTCTTTCTGGCAACTGCAGCAGGCACATCTTGAAAATCCTGAAATAGACCCACTGAATATTCTGTTGATTTTTGACAAAAGTGTGAAGACAATTCAATGGAAAAAGAAAAATCTTTTCAGCAAACTGTACTGAAACAATTATATATCTGAATGGGGTTTGGCCTTAATTTAATATACACAAAGAATATTTTTTATAAATGTATTTCATTGAAGCATAGTTGATTTACAGTGTTGTGTTAATTTCTGCTGGACATCAAAGTGGCTATTTATTTATGTATATATGTGTGTATATATATGTATATATTCTTTTTCATAGTTTTTTCCATAATAGTTTATCACAGGATATTGAATATAGTTCCCTGTGCTAGGCAGTAGGACCTTGTTGTTTATCCTTTCTATATATGTAATAGTTTGCATCTGCCAATTCCAAACTCCTGATTCCTCTCTTCCCCAACCCTGCATACCCCTACCCTCTTTGAAAACTATGTCTTCCTCTATGTCTGTGAGTCTGTTTCTGTGACAGGTTTGTTTGTGTTGTATTTCAGATTGTGCATATAAGTGGGATCATATGGCATTTTTTTCTTTGTCTTTCTGACTTACTTCACTTAGTATGATAATCTCTAGTTTCATCCATGTTGCTGCCAATAGCATTATTTCATTCGTTTTTATGGCTGAGCAGTATCCCATTGTATATCTGTACTGCATCTACTTATCCATTCATCTGTCAAGAGACATTTTGGTTGTTTCCTGTGCTAGCTGTTGTGCATAGTGCTGCTATGAACATAAGGGTACATGTATCTCACAGAAGGATTTTGACTGGACTTCATACCACACAAAATGAACTCAAAGTGTATCAAAAAGGCCTAAACATAAATGCTGAAAGTATAAAAGTTCCAAAAGTAAGTCTTTGTAGTGTAGGTAGTTATTGAATTACGACTCTTATTCAAAACGCTGACAACACCAATAGTTGGCAAGGAGATAGGGCTACTGGAATCCATATGTTTCACTGCTGATGGGAACCTAAAGTGATGTAGCCACTTAGGAAAATTGTTCTACAAATTCCCAAACCATTAAGCATCCACTTACCATTTGACTGAGCCATTCCAATTCCAGGTATTTATTTAAGTTAAATAAAAACATGTGTCCACCTGAAAACTTGAACATAAATGTTCACAGTGTCTTTATTTGTAACAGCTTCAGCTTAAGAAAATTGGTGAATGGATTAACACATTGTGGAACATCCATAAAAGAACTATGGCTCAGCAATAGAAAGGAACATGTTACTGATGTACCCAACTATATACATGAATCTCAAAATGATCTTGCTGAGCAAAAGAAGCCAGACTTCAAAGAAATATATATCCACATGATTCACTTATATAAATTCAAGAAAATGTAAACCAACCTCTGTTGACAAAAGGTAGACTAATGGTTGCATGGGGCTATAGGCTGTGGGGGGGGGGGACTGTAAATGGGATGATGGAAATATTTTGTATCTTGAATTCAGTGGTGGCTTTGTAGCTGTGTACATCCATCAAAAGTGGATGCCATTTTTTATACACAGATTAGACTTTAAAATTGACTTGAAAGTCTCTATGGGTAATACAGGTTTTTAAGTGTTTTTCTATTTGAGTACCTCAAATTTTAGTATTTGGGAGTTATTGTTGCATTCAAATATAACTGAAAATGCAAATACATTATAATTTCCAAATTTTGAAAAAGGAGGAGATATGTGTGTGCAAGAAGTAGGGCCATTTTCTGGAGAATCAGAGGACTAATTGTAAACGACTTGGTCAGATTAGGGGTCAAGTTCACATACTCAGACCTAATCCATGTCTATTTTATGAGTGGATCCTGGGGTCTTCCATAATTATGACATAGAATTACACATTTGAGAAATTACAAGCACAGGAAAATATTTAATTTTGAGCTTTAATAGACATTAAACATGATACAAACTAAGCATTTATGCATTAAATACCTATTTTTAGAGGTTCATTTTAAGATTCTGAGATGAAGTTCAAAATTTCACGTACGTTTCCTTTCATTGTTGTTGTGCTTACCTATTTTTGCATCACCACAAGCTATGATCTCATATTGATACTTTTGTTTATTGATGTATACCAATGCTCTGTTGATGTGATTTTCCCTTATGTCAACCTCTCTTTTATAAAAAATTAATTAATTTATTTTAATTGGAGGCTAATTACTTTACAATATCGTAGTGTTTTTTTGCAATACATTGACATGAATCAGCCATAGGTATACATGTGTCTCCCTTCCTGAACCCCTCCCCTCTCCCTCCCCATCCCATCCCTCAGGGCCATCCCAGTGCACCAGCCCTGATCTCCCTGTCTCATGCATCGAACCTAGACTGACAATCTATTTCACATATGGTAATATACATGTTTCAATGTTGTTCTCTCAAATCATGCCACCGTTGCCTTCTCCCACAGAGTCCAAAAGCCTGTTCTTTACATCTGTGTTTCTTTTGCTGTCTCGCATATAGGGTCATCGTTACCATCTTTCTAAATTCCATTTATATGTATTAATATGCTGTATAGGTGTTTTTCTTTCTGATTTACTTCACTCTGTATAACAGGCTCCAGTTTCATCCACCTCATTAGAACTAATTCAAATGCATTCTTTTTAATAGCTGAGTAATATTCCATGGTGTATATGTACCACAGCTTTCTTATCCATTCATCTGCTGATGGGCATCTAGGTTGCTTCCATGTCCTGGCTATTATAAACAGTGCTGTGATGAACATTGGGGTACACGTGTCTCTTTCAATTCTGGTTTCCTTGGTGTGTATGCCCAGCAGTGGGATTGCTGGGTCATATGGCAGTTCTATTTCCAGTTTTTAAAGGAATCTTCACACTGTTCTCCATAGTGGCTGTACTAGTTTGCATTCCCACTAACAGT